CCATCACCCTTTGGAGCACAAGTTAGGAGTCATCAGGACTCTGTATCACAGAGCAGACAGCGTCCCCACTAGCTCAGGAGCCAGGCAGAAGGAGAAATCCCACACAAGACAGGCTCTAGAGCAATGTGGATATCCTAACTGGGCCTTCCTAAAAGCAGAGAAGAAACCCAAACAGGACTCCAGTCAGCCAACAGGTGAAAAGGAGGAACCCAGACCCAGACCAGTGGTCATTCCATATGTTGAGGGAGTATCAGAGAAACTGAGACGTTTATTTTCTGAACATAACGTCCAAGTGGCTTTTAAACCCCAAAATACATTACGGCAAAGACTGGTTCATCCCAAAGATCCAGTCCCCCGGCACAAACAGAGCAATGTTGTGTATGCTGTTCAGTGTCAGGGGGGTGATCAGTCTTACATCGGGGAAACTAAACAGCCACTGGCCAAAAGGATGGACCAGCACAGAAGATCAACATCATCAGGCCAGGACTCTGCAGTCTACACTCATCTCCAGGCCAGCGGTCACTCTTTCAGGGATGAAGATGTTCACATCCTGGACAGAGAGGAACGATGGTTTGAGAAAGGAGTAAAGGAGGCCATCTTTGTGAAAAGAAATCGTCCATCGTTAAACAGGGGTGGAGGCCTCCGGGTTCAACTGTCCCCCTCTTACAATGCTGTGATTGCTAGTATCACTCAGCCCTCTGTGAACAGTAAACAGCCATCAGTGTGCTAATGATCCATTGTTAGGCTGATGGTCCTTCTTGAGCATGTGATCAGCTGGTTTTGGTTGTCAGCAGCAAACTGGTTGATCCACTCTGAGACGGTGCTATTTAAGAGACTGAGCTGAATACAGCTCCTCAGACTGAGGAAGTCTCTCGGACAAGAGACGAAACGTTTCTACATTTTTTTGTTGATTTGCTTTGTTTTTTTTTTTTTTTGAATGTCCAGAGGACCAGATTTAACTTTTTTAGATTTTTCTACCTGGATTATTGAGCATGCATCAGGGTAGATGTTTTATGTGTCCAAGAGACCAAGTGAAAGGGCAGCAAGGCTTGCAGCATTGGAGCAGGGTTCAAACTGTTTTACCATGGTGTGGATAGGAAGAGAAATGGAGTAGGGGTGGTCCTAAAGGAGGAATTGGCAAAGAATGTAGTAGAGGTGAAAAGAGTGTCAGATAGGGTGATGTGTCTGAAGGTAGAAGTAGAAGGTCTGATGCTAAACATAGTAAGTGGTTATACTACTGTGACGTAGAGGAGAAAGATACATTTTGGAAAGATCTGGATGAAGTGATAGAGAGTATTCCCAGGGAGGAGAAAGTGGTGAGCAGAGCAGACCTGAATGGACATGTTGGTGAAGGAAACAGAGGGGATGAGGAAGTGATGGGTAAGTTTAGTGTCAAGGAAAGAAACCAGGAAGGACAGATGGTGGGGGATTTTGCCAAGAGAATGGAAATGCCTGTTGTCAACACTTACTTCCAAAGGAGGGAGGGAGACAGAGTGACCTATAAGAGTGGAGGAAGGAGTACGCAGGTCGACTACATTCTGTGTAGAAGAGGAAACCTGAGGGAGATTGGAGACTGTAAGGTTGTGGCAGGGGAGAGCGTGGCTATGTAGCATCAGATGGTTGTGTGTAGAATGACTGTTGTTATGGAGAAGAGAAAAAGAGTAAAATCAGAGAAGAAGACCAAATGGTGGAAGATGAAGAAGGAAGAATGTTGTGAGAAATTCAGAGAAGAGCTATTAAAGGCTCTGGGTGGTAAGAAAGAGCTTCTAAATGACTGGACTACTACAGCAACAGTAATTAGAGAGACTAGTAGGAAAGTACTTGATGTGTCATCTGGACAGAGAATGGATGGTTTGGAAATGTCTTGGAGAGATGGCAGTGAGGTTTTTGACTCAAATATTCAATGGCATATTTGAGGGTGAGAAAATTCCTGAGGAATAGAGAAGAAGTGCGCTGGTGCACATTTTTAAGAACAAGGGTGATTTACAGAGTTGTAGCAACTACAGGGGGATTAAGTTTATGAGCCACAAGATGAAGATCTGGGAGAGAGTAGTGGAAGCAAGACAAACGAGAGGTGACTATCTGTGAGCAGCAGTATGGTTTCATGCCAAGAAAGAGCACCACAGATGCATCTTTGCTTTGAGAATGCTGATGGAGAAGTACAGAGAGGGTCAGAAAGAACTCCATTGTTTCTTTGTGGATTTAGAAAAAACATCTGACAGAGTGCCGAGGGAGGAGGTGTGGTATTGCATGAGGAAATCTGGAGTGGCAGAGAAGTATGTTAGACTGGTACAGGACATGTATGAGGACAGCAGGACAGTGGTGAGATGTTCTGTAGGAGTGACAGATAGCTTCAAGATGGATGTGGGAGTCCATCAAGGATCGGCTCTGAGCCCCTTCTTGTTTGCTCTGGTGATGGACCGACTAACAGATGAGGTCAGGCAGGAATCCTCGTGAACTATTATGTTTGCAGATGACGTGATCTGTGGTGAGAACAGGGAACAGGTGGAAGAGAACTTGGAGAGGTGGAGGTATGCACTTGAAAGAAGAGGAATGAAAGTCAGCCGTAGTAAGACAGAGTACAGGTGTGTAAATGAGAGGAAGGCCGGTGGAACAGTGAGGCTACAAGGAGCAGAGGTCACAAAGGTGCAGGACTTTAAGTACTTGGGGTCCACTGTCCAAGAAAATAGGAGTGTGGTAAAGAGGGGAAGAGAGTCCAGGCAGGATGGAGTGGATTGAGAAAAAAATTCATGAGTGATTTGTGTCAAAAGAGTGTCAGCGAAGGTCAAAGGAAACATTTACAAGACAGTGGTGAGACCAACTGGTCTGGAGACAGTGGCATTGACAAAAAGACAGGAAAAAAGAACTGGAAGTGGCAGAAATGAAGATGTTGAGGTTCTCCATAGGAGTGACAAGGATGGATAAGATTAGGAATGAGATCATCAGAGGTACAGCACAGGTTGAACAACTGGGAGATAAAGTTAGAGAGGGCAGACTGAGATGGTTTGGACATGTCCAGAGGAGGGACAGTGGGTATATTGGTAGAAGGATGTTAGAAATGTAGCTGCCAGGAAGAAGACAAAGAGGAGATATATGGATGTAGTTAGGAGACATGGAGGTAGTTGGAGTGAGGACAGAGATGGAGGAGGATGACTTGCTGTGGAGACGCCTGAAGAGGGAGTAAATGAAATCTTATTAACTTGGTCAATGAATGTTCCTAGTTCTCTATACATGCAGCTAATTAATATAGTTTTATGACTTTCAACCCTAACTTCAATACAGTAGTTACATGTTACATTAAATTATCAATGACATATGTCATATTATCAATAACTTTACATTTAAATGATGATATTACAAACAGGGCTATACCCTTCCTTTTTTACTCACTCTGTTTTGGTTGAACATTTCATACCCATCTAATCCATCCATAAAATCTTTTATGTTTGCCTACATAAAAAAAATAAAACTTGATGATGAGTTACATTAGTGTGCAAAAGTTTTAAACTACCTTTGTTGTCTGTGCATGCTTGGGTCTGCCTGTTACCAATATATTCCACGATCCACCCAAAAATTTTATTGAAACTTGCAGAAAGTAATCACTGGATCTACAACTGATTCACTTTTGGAGTCAACCCAGTTTAAGATGGCCACCACAGCCAACTGTCTTTAGAAAACACAAAAATGGTCGTCATTCAGAAACTTGTTCAGATGCTGAGCTAAAATTAGTTGTTTTCATAGATGAGAGTCATTCACAACAAATAGATCAAGTGCTACTCATTCCTCAACATCTTAGCTTAAAAATTCAACCATAAATTTTGAAGCCAACTTTGTATGTCTGTTAGCAAAATATCTCAGGAACCACTGGACAGATTTTGACAAAACTCTTAGAACTTTATCTTTGGATGTACATTTACATCTTCTTACCCTTAAGAGTTGACCCAATTCAAAATGGCTGCCACAGCTACTCAACATCAGTCAATGCACAAATAGCTATAATAGTAGCTAGCTATAGCTATAGATTAATAAAATGTGATGTAGAAGTAGCTGGGCATCATCTCCAACACATACTTTGAGTGTAACATTTTGTGATACTGCATGAGATTGTGCACAGCCTTATTTTCAAAGTCTGACATGTCATTTTTCAACAGAAGATGATTTTAGTCTAAAACTCTGGAATGAAAGGCAGCGGGTGATTCATTGAAGAACGCTAGCCCTTTAATTATTTTCTCATTTCATTTCAAGCAACCAAACTAAAAATTTTAACTGCTCTTGATGGTCTTCTAAAGTTGGCAGTTTTTTTTATTATTATTATTGTGGTGCTTGTTTGTTTGTTTTAACTTAAGCTGCCATGGCATGATTCATACTTCACAGTTAAATGGCTCAACAAACAAACAAAACAAAAAAATCACCTAAAACTGGACTGAAATTCAGTGAAAAAGCAAAAGCCAACCTTCAGAACGCTCCAGCAAATCAATCAAAACCATGTTAAACGATTACAAGAACATCTGGCTCAGATCTACAGAAAAACCTTAAGGATGATTCATTACTTTTGCATAGTACTATGGTTTTTATAAATCACTCCCTAAGTCATACACTACTGTCACACACACACACAGACACACATTTGGTTTTCATTGTGCATCCCTCTGCTGCTGCTCTTTCTTCCTGTTGCCACAGCAACGCAGCATCCGACTCCGTGTCTCAGGGACAGCACATGCTCCCATTAAAAAGCCACCCGCCAACAGAAGAGCCGATACTGTAATTCAGTGCCTGACACACATCAAAACACGCCGGGTTATCAACAGCATCCTTCAGGATTAAACCCCTCCTGTGAGATTTTAGGTACTTTTATATTTCACATATTTCAATAAAAATAAACTGCCAACAAATAATTATTTTTTTTAATCATGTCAATCTGAACCAGTTTAGAAGCCGGCCCTTTTTTATCGTCTGTTTAATAAGTTGAGGAGCAGACTCTAAACTCAGCCGGTTCCTACCTCACAGTTGTGTCCAATGAAGCCCTGGCTGCAGGTGCACGTGTACTCCCCGGTCCCCTCCGGCCTGAGAGGAGAAGGGAGGGCCAGGCAGAGCCCCCCATTCAGGCAGGGCCGTCCTTTGCAGGGGTCTGGACGAGGTGCAGGCTGGGTTGGGGTGGGCTCTGCCGGGGCAGGGGTGTCCGGAGCCAGCTGGAAAGGAGAAGGGACGGCGTTGACGCCTCTGCCTGGAAGCAGCAGGAGGAGGACGAGGAGAAGCGGGTGGTGAAGCGGTTTCCACACAACCGCTGGAACAGAGGAGCCCCTCATCCACATCCTGATGATGCTTTCTCTGTCGCTGAGTGTTTCTCTGCTTTGCTCCGAGCTGCTGATGTTGGTGCTGGCTGGGCTGAGCAGCAACTGAGGTGTGTGTGAGAGGAGAGGGATGGAGAGGAAGAGGAGGAGGTGGGGGAGGAGGAGGAGGCAGGTTGTTTAAATGCTGAACCTCAGCTGTGTGGAGCAGAGTCAGAGAAGGTAGGGATGCAGGAGGAGAAAGGAGGACTATTGGCTCTTGTCTTTCTCTGAGTCACAGTGACGAGGATCACTGATGACACACGCACACACACACACGCACACACACACACACGCACACACACACACGCACACACACACACACACACACACACAGCTTCACGGACACCCTGCTCTCACCTTGCCTTTTACACGTGTATTCTCTCCTCATTTGTAAAGTCTTTATCAGAACATCTTAAGGCTGGATTATGAAAAATGTGAGTGTCAGGTGAGAGGACAGAGGGATGATGAACCCACCACCCAGTGATGATGATGATGAAGATAGTCTGCATCACAATAAGTTTTCCTCATTGCTTCAGACTGCATTTGTCGGTAAAAAGAGAAGATCCTGCGAGCGCTGAACATTTCTTCAGTCGTGTCTTTCATCGTCCTTGATCAAACGCTCGGCTCACTCAGGGTGGGTGAGGAGTGTCACTGCACAGCTATTTTTAGATCTCTCCAGGGAGGCTCCACTTAGTTCTGGTCCAGACTCTGACTGGGTCATTCAGTTATTTCTGCAGCCAGAAGCCTTCCTGGTGCTGTTCTGCCTCTGAGGCGGTTTGCTTGGTGGTTACCTGTTGAGGCAAAGCCCTGCATTTCGGTCAAACAGATCCAGGTATTGTTTTGGGACTCAGAACACCTGAAGGTGATCTCTTCTGGTGCCTCACAGATTTAAAATATGTATTAGTCCAGTTCAGTTAAGTGACTGTCGCACTGAAGGAAGTGAGGTGATCCACATGTCTAGGTACGAGTGTGTGACTAAAGGATTCAAATCCTGATGTAATCATGTAGAGCATCCCTGATGCATCTTTACACTTCTATGCCGACGACGCAGCAGTTTATTGTCAAGCTAAAACAGTTGCTAAGGTTTAACCGTCTGCATTCGTCATCATCCAGTCAGATTTGTTCAAACTGGTGCTAAATGCTGCTGATAAAATCAAAGAGATGTTGTTTCCAAACAGGAAGTTGGTCCCAGCAGTCCTTCTTTCTATTTTAGCTACAAATGGTGTCCCTATTGAGTTTGTCGATTCTTATAAATACTTGGGTATCTTGGTTGACTCTTAAGCCTCATGTTGAAAACTTGATAAGAAACTGAAAGTTAAACTGAGTTTCTTTTTCAGAAACAGATCCTGTCTAACGCTGAATGCTAGGAAACACTTTGTAAATGCGACTTTCCTTCCTTCCACTGACTATGGTGATATTATTTACATGAACGCTCCTACAAGAACCCTGCAGATGTTGGATGCTGTCTATCACGGTGCACTAAGATTCATAACTGGCTGTGATTATCGTACCCACCACTGCACCCTGTATTCACTGGTTAACTGGACATCATTAACTTCACGCAGACTCTCTCACTGGTACATTTTCATCTTTAAATCACTTCTTGGTCTGCTGCCTTCATACATCTCCTCCTACATGTCTCTGTGTGAGTGCAGCTACAGCGTGCGCTCTCAGGACATTATTACCTGCAGTGTTCCCTCAGTGAGGACTGAACTTCGCAAAAGGGCCTTCTCCTACTCCACTCCTGTTTCCTGGAACATCTTGAAAAAGTTCTGAAGCTCTCGACCTATCTGTAGTGAACCAGATGACCTGATGATCTGACCCTCATCTGACCCTGATGACCTCAAATCTACCAGATGGACAGAGACTGTTATTTTCATTGATCTGAATAAGTCTGAGCCATCTGATGACTTTCTTTCTTGAATTAATCAAGCAGAAAAGACAATCCTCTATAATCATTACTGTCTTACAAATGTTTTGATAATCAAATTGTGTTAGTTTCACTCAATGCTTACAGGTTGAAAAGAACTACTCATTTTTATTTTACATAAACAGTAAGTAATGATTTTTATTCCTCATTCAAAGAAGAAATCACCTGAATATGCATTTCTTGATTTTCTGTCTGAAATGAGCCAAGTCGTAAGTGTGTGAAAGTTGAAGCTTCGGTCAACTAAATGTTTACTGAAGAAGAAATGTCATGTTTAAACTTTTTCAGAAGATTACCAAGAGTTGGCTCCACGAAGTCTGCTTTTTGCAATAATCTCTCTGTCAGTTGTTAAACAAATTTCATTCTCTGACCTCGACTTTTGATAAACACCTTACGTCAAAACCACTCCTCTTTCTGGTCCATCCACGAATCAGAAAGCTCTGAAGTAAACTCGGAAGTAAACTCATTTAAAATGGGACAACTTCCCGGTTCTGGCAGAGTGCAGTAGATTCCATGGAGTGCAGTTAGTTCTCAAGGAGTTCTGAAGAGAATTCATGGGAATTCAGAGAACTAGAGTTATGGAGAGTTTTGGAGTTAGAGTCTGAGAAGATCTGAAAGAGTCTGGGAGCTGCTGACAATGAAGAGTCAGAGTTGCCGAGAATCCAGAGACGTTTTGGGATTATAATTCTGTTTTGAGCTAACCACGCACGACTCTCCAAGGATTTTAGCTGTTCTCAACGGAGACGCTGATATCAGTCTGAAGGTTCTTACTGAGGTGATCTATCGTCAACAAGGTAACGGTTTCTTCTTCGACTAAAGTGTACCTGGGATAAGCTGAGATACCTGATGGGAGCGTGCAATTTCTGGTCAAACAGATTAAATTCCCTCACATATTCCTCTGTAAGATAAATCTCAATTTCCTCTTAAACTCACCTCTCTCTCATAAATCAGTACAGATATTTTTAGAAATATCTGAAGCAAAGTCCTCAAATCACCGCCGAGTGATTTGAAGTTCATTATTTGTGAAACTGTCTGTTATTATTTTCATATTTTGCCAAATTAATGTAAATGTTTGATGTTAAACTTGGATTCTGAAAATAAATGACTCCATTCATTTGATGGGTCAAAGATAATAACGTCTCTCGTTCGCATTCCTTTAAATTCAATGCACGGCATTACACAGTCAGAAAAATGAAGAACTCGTGAAAAGTATGCATAAATATATACCACATATATTTGTCATACAACAAGTGACACGTACCCACGTGACTCACTACATATCTATGGGATTTTAAACATCTGCAAAGTTCATGGCAAAAACTAATGCAGACATGTTCCTGTTTTTAGTATTTTACACAGCTTTATAATGTAGCCTGTTTTTTTTTTTTTTTTTAAACGTCACTTCTTTTACTTACTTTTCATTTGATCAAGGTTAAGGTATTATCATTCGCATCTCATGTGGTACATGTGGTGGAACAAAATTGTGTACACAGAGTTCCAGTTACATCAAACAAAGTTATACATTTTACAAGAGAAATAGTAATAAGATCTAAGATATGAACTCAGAAAAACGCTAAAACTGATAGTACAAAAACAATACGCTAAAACAACAGCAGCACGAACATGAGTCTGTGTGAGCAGATGAGTATGAATGAACACAGCAGCATGAGATCAGCAGCACATATCAGCAATCAAGTGGCATTACAGTGATTTTTTTTTCCACATTGATAATCCTGGTTAGATATTCATGAGTCCAACAGCCTCAGGGTAGAAGCTGTTCCTCAGTCTAGTGGTTATGCACTTAATGCTCCTCAACCTTCTGCCTGAGGGGAGCGGGGCAAAACATGTGTGTGCTGGATGAGTGGGGTCCTTCATGATGCAGGTGGCCCTCTTCCTGCATCTAGAGGTGTAGATGTATGTGATAGTGGAGAGACTGACTCCAACAGACTTCTGTGCAGCCTTCACCTCTCTCTGCAAAGCTTTTCTTTCTGCAGCTGTGCAGCCTCCATGCCACATGTTGATGCTGGAGCACAGGATGCTCTCCACTGCACACCTGTAGAAGGAGGTGAGGACTGAGCTTCCCAGACCAGCTCGTCTCAACCGTCTGAGGAAGTAGAGTCTCTGATGAGCTTTCTTGATCAGGCTGGTGGTGTTGTTGCTCCAGCTGAGGTTGTCATTCAGCACACCCAAGAACTTGTAGCTGGAGACCACTTCCACCAGAGATCCTCCTATATTCAGGGGGGTAAGGTGTGTTTGTTCTTTCTGAAGTCCATGACCATCTCCTTTGTCTTCTTCACAATGATGTGAAGGTTGTTCTTCCTGCACCAGCTCTCCAGGTGTTCACCTCCCGCCTGTAGCTGGACTCATTGTTTGGGATACATCCAACCACCACTGTATCATCTGCAAATGTTACAATATGACAGCCTGGATGGATAGGTGCTCAGTCGTATGTGAGCAGAGTGAATATACAGGTACTGGTCATGAAATTAGAACATCATGAAAATGTTGATTTATTTCAGTAATTCCATTCAAAAAGTGAAACATATATTATTTTCATTCATTACACACGGACTGATATATTTTAAATGTTTATTTATTTTAATGTTGATGATTATAACTGACAACTAATGAAAATCCCAAATTCAGTATCTCAGAAAATTTGATTATTGTGAAAAGGTTCAATATTGAAGAAACCTGGTGCCACACTCTAATCAGGTAATTAACTCAAAACACTTGCAAAGGCCTTTAAATGGTCCCAGTCTAGTTCTGTAGGTTACACAATCATGGGGAAGACTGATGACTTGACAGTTGTCCAAAAGACGACCACTGACACCTTGCACAAGGAGGACAAGACACAAAAGGTCATTGCTAAAGAGGCTGGCTATTCACAGAGCTCTGTGTCCAAGCACATTAAAAGAGAGGTGAAGGGAAGGAAACGATTTGGTAGGAAAAAGGTGTACAAGCAATAGGGATAACCACACCCTGGAGAGGATAGTGAAACAAAACCCATTCCAAAATGTGGGGGCGATTCACAAAGAGTGGACTGCAGCTGGAGTTGGTGCTTCAAGAACCACCACGCACAGACGTATGCAAGACAAGGAGTTCAGCTGTCACATTCCTTGTGTCAAGCCACTCTTGAACAAGAGACAGCGTCAGAAGTGTCTTGCCTGGGACTGCTGCTGAGTGGTCCAAAGTTATGTTCTCTGATGAGAGCAAATTTTATATTTCCTTTAGAAATCAAGGTCCCAGAGTCTGGAGGAAGAGAGGAGAGGCACAGAATCTATGTTGCTTGAGGTCCAGTGTCAAGTTTCCACAGTCAGTGATGGTTTGGGGTGCATGTCATCTGCTGTTGTTGGTTCACTGTGTTTTCTGAGGTCCAAGGTCAACGCAGCCATCTACCAGGAAGTTTTAGAGCACTTCATGCTTCCTGCTGCTGATCAACTTTATGGAGATGCAGATTTAGTTTTCCAACAGGACTTGGCACCTGCACACAGTGCCAAAGTTACCAGTATCTTGAAAAGGATGTTCTGTGGACACATTCTCATCTACCTGCCAGCTGTGCTTGAGTGCCTAACCATAGATGAGGGTAGGAACGTAGATCGACCTGTAAATTGAGAGCTTCACCTTTTGACTCAGCTCTCTCTTCACCACAACAGCACCCACTTCACTGCAGACGCCGCACCTATCCGCCTATCAATCTCTTGCTCAATTTTTCCCTCATTTGTGAACAAGATACGTAAACTCCTGCTCTTGGGACAGGACCTCCTCCCCGACCCAGAGAAGGCAGTCTATCCTTTTATGTCTCAAGACCATGGCCTCGGATTTGGAGGAACTGATCCTCATCCCGGCCGCGTCACACTCGGCTGCGAACCGCTCCAGCAAAAGCTGTAGATCACAGCCTGATGAAGCCAATAGGATCACATCATCTGCAAAAAGCAGAGACACAATCCTAAGGCCACCAAAACGGATCCCCTCAACACCTTGGCTGCACCTAGAAATTCTGTCCATAAATGTTATGAACAGAATCGGTGACAAAGGGCAACCTTGGTGGAGTCCAACTTTCACTGGAAACGAGCCCGACTTACAATGCGGACCAGGCTCTGACACCGGTCATACAGGGACCTAACAGCTCGTATCAAAGGGCCTGGTACTCCATACTCCCAGAGTACCCCCCACAGGCTCCCCGAGGGACACGGTCGAATGCCTTCTCCAAGTCCACAAAGCACATGTAGACTGGTTGGGCAAACTCCCACACACCCTCCAGGACCCTGCTGAGGGTGTAGAGCTGGTCCAGTGTTCCACGACCAGGACAAAAACCGCACTGCTCCTCCTGAATCTGATGTTCGACTATCTGACAGACTCTCCTCTCCAGAACCCCCGAATAGACCTTACCAGGGAGGCATAAGAGCGTGATCCTCCTGTAGTTGGAACACACTCTACGGTCCCCCTTTTTGAATAGGGGGACCACCACCCTGGTCTGACAATCCAGGGGAACTGCCCCCGATGTCCACGCAACGTTGCAGAGTCATGTAAGCCAACACAACCCCACAACATCCAGAGCCTTAAGGAACTCTGGGCGAATTTCATTCACCCCAAGGGCCCTACCACAAAGGAGCTTTTTAACCACCTCTGTGACCTCAGCACCAGAGCTTGGAGAGCCCGACCCAAAGTCTCCGCTTTCTCAGTGGAAGAGGTGCCGGTGGGATTGAGGAGGTCTTCGAAGTACTCTGCCCACAGACCCACGACATCTCGAGTTGAGGTCAGCAGCACACCACCTCAACTATAAACAGTGTTGGTGGTGTACTGCTACAGCTCAGAGCAGAATCGCCTCGAAGCCATACGGAAGTCATTCTCCTTGGCCTCTCTGAACTCCTCCCATGCCCAAATTTTTGCCTCAGCGACCACCCGAGCTGCATGTTGCTTGGACTGCCGGTTATAATCAACATCAAAAGAAATAAACATTTGAAATATATCAGTCTTTGTGTAATGAATGAATATAATATACAAGTTTCACTTTTTGAATGGAATTACTGAAATAAATCAACTTTTTCATGATATTCTAATTTTATGACCAGCACCTGTATGGTTTTTGTTTAAAACAGGTCTCTCTTGTAAATGAGTCCTCGTTAATGAGAATAACCAGTATAAATAAAGGTTGATTGAATAATCACGTTTTTGTCTTTGTACTGTTAAGATTTAATGGGGAGGGAATGATTTGTTATAAGATGATTGGGGGGAAAATATTTTAAGAAAGGACGAGATTATTTAAAGGCTCTTGTCAAATCAGAGAAACATTTTTGGGTTAGTAATTTATAAAGCAGTTGGGGCAGCAGTGGCTCAGTGGTCAGTGTTGTTGTCTCATAATCTGACAAACGCAATAAAGACAACTTTGATATTGATGGCAGCAAAACGTAAAAAGAAAGACAGGACAGGGACGTGCGATGCTTCTCTTTATTTAACAACAGACTGTAACCGTCCAGGAGCAGAGATCAGTTCATGGAGAGAATCTTGTCCCATTCTTGTCCGATATACGATTTTGGCTGTTTAACAGTCCCGGTCATCTTTGCTTGATTTTTTGTTCTTTAGGCATCAGATGTTTTCAAATGCAGCACCCAAACTCTTCTACTACAGAGCCATGCTGTTGTAATGGATGCACTTTGTGGTTTATCAGTCTTGCTGAAATATGCAAGGTCTGCCCAGAAAACTGATGTGATGTTCTAAACCTTCTGGATAGTTTTCTGCACTGATGGCGTCTTTTCTGAAGCGTAAGCTGCCCTAATGCATACCCACACCATCAGAGAAGCCGACTTTTGTACTCTGCGCTGACAACGGCTTCAGCTTTCTCCTCAACTTGAACAAAAATTTGAAACTTCAGTTCATCTGACCACAGACGTTTCCAGCTTCGCCTCCAGTTATTTGAAGTGAGCTTTAATCCAGAGAACATGGAGGCATCGCTGATGGTGTTCACAAGGAGTCTTTGCACGATAGAGCTTTAACCTGCATGTGGAAGTGTTCCTGAGCAGGGATGTCCAGAACAGAATGCGACTGGTTTGTAACGCAGCACAGTCTGAGGGTCCAAACATCACAGAGCTTGCAGTTTGTCTTCTGAGCTCTGGTTTCTACAGGTTCTTGAAATCTGCTGGTATCATGAATAATAGATGGGAAATTCAACTTCTACGCAATTTTTTTTGTTCAGGCATGTCATTCAGAATGTTTACTATTTTTAGACATTTTTCCCACAGACAAGTGAACCTCTGCCCATCTTTACCTCAAGATTCATCCTCTTTATAACACTTACGTCCAGTCCTTTTAGCTGCAAAAATCTCCTTCAGCTGTTTATTTCTACAACTTACGGCCTTTTGTTGCCCCTGTCCCAACTTTTGAGATGTGTTGCTGCCATAAAATTCAAAATTATTTTTCCTAAAAATCTAATAATTTATGTTTGTGTTTCATTGTGAACAATATGTGGGTTGGAGGTTTGCAAATCTTTGTATTTATTATTTACATTTTACACAGCTTCCCAACTTCGTCAGAATTGGAGTTACCACCTAAACAACAGCTGGATAAAAATGTTGCTTTAGAAATTTCAAAGACCAAAACTATGAAAGTTCACCCACTGTGAAAAATATTGCTGAACATTTTTGAAAAATAAACAAATTAAACCCAATACATCTTTACAACTTAAAACTTTGGCTACTTAAAGTGCTGTTTTAAAGTTGTAAAGTGATGAACTTTGTTTAGTGAGGTCCGACTATTCAAAGTCACAAAAGTCCGTGAAGAAACAAATGACTAAATTACCTTTTTATATAAATCCATGAACAACTAAGTCGATGACTACATAATTGTACTTATCAAGGTGTAAAATAATTTAAAACACATTTCTTGCTGATGCAATTCAACAAAACTTCTTAGACAACTGGTAATTACGTTGGTCTAAAAGAGGAAATGCGTTTGGGTAAACAATCTGATTAAAAATTATTTCAACACTCGCACGCCGTTTAATCGCAGCTCCAGCGTTTTTGTCGTTTGGATCACGGTAGTAGATATTAAACTCTGATGCCCGCTACAACGTGGCATTTCAGGTGACTCAATTAAATGGTGTTACCATAGCAACTGAGTAAAACCTGTCCAAAACAGAACAAGACAAAAACTAACCGTCAAGTCTTCACTGGACAAGAGGAAAACAACAACATGCAGCAATAAAAAACAAAGATGGAAAAAATACAAATATAAACGAATCTGAGTCAAACAGTTACTTTATTTATGTTCAGGTAAAAACAAGAACCTGATGCAGTAAATTATTGCAGATCTTAGAAACCAGCACATGAACGATCGGGCCAGGAAAGCATACAGTGGCGCCCTCGCCTGGCCACAGACTGCAAGTGCACACCACGGTTTGTCCCAAGCCAGCAGTGCAAAGAAAAAAGAATCAACTACAGCAAGAAATGAAGACAATATAGAAAATTAAAAAAAAAAATAAGGTAACGCAGAAGTTCTCACCTCAAACAGGGTGTGAAACTGCATATATACTTTATTTCATAAATGAACTTGAAATGTTGCCTGGCCAGGAAACGATAAAATGAGACCAGCCAAATGTTGTGCCCAGCTACATTGTGTGTTGAGGGGTCGCTCAGAGCTTGGTCTACTAGAAGGACCCCGCAGATCCTGTGGGGTCGAACAGAAAGACGCCAGCTCCATCAAAGTAAGAGCAAAACGAAGATCAACACGTCGGTTACAACTCTTCAATTACGCTGAAGCTCTTTATAATAAAGGATGGCCAGAACACAATCCAAACAAGGGCGGTAAAGAAATAAAACGATAATATGACCTCCTCTACCCACATCCAACCAACTGCAACTGTCGTTTTCACAAGTTGAAGCAAGAGACACATGAGGGTGGGGGGGCTGAACTGAAATGCAACACACAAACTGGGGCCAGTATAATACAGAACAAAATGTCCGACTGACGAACTGAGACATGAAAACAAAGAGCTATTCTATCAAATGTGTAGAATGAGCAAAGTCTGTAAATTTGTCTGTACAAATGATCTTTGGAGCTAAAGAAAACCTAGCTTGCTCAATGAACCACCCCCCTCCCCTCGTCCTCCCCAACACCCAGGAAGCTGTCCACCGCTCCGGAGAGACGACATCCCTTTTTTTTTTTTTAAATATGACGTAGCAATGCAGTTTAAAATGTCACCCAGATGTATTCATCTTTTTAACATTATTCAACTACTGATATAGGTTTTACTCTCTCTTTTATATTTTCAGTTCTGAGTCATGGAACAACTTTCCATTTTTGTGTTTTTTTTTATGTTTTATATATTTTTCCTTTTTTTGTTTTGTTTTGGAGAGACAGGGGCAGCAAATATATATTTAAAGTCTTAACTTTTCTGCAAGCTGCTTCCTCTAACAAGAAGGCTATACCCCCATAGCCTTAATGTATGTGATTACAAAAAAATAAAATAAACTAAACAAAACAAAAAACTAAGGAAGTTATGATTTCATCAGTCGCTGTTGAAGGCATTTATATGTGAGATGTGGAGAGATCAGGACAGGTGGAAAGACTGCTGGCCCTCACGAGCAGCAATCAACAGTTTCTCTCTCATGATCTCTATGCTGGAGTAGTCAGGCAGCTTCAGGTAGTTGACGCAGGTCATGACTGACGGGAGGAAGTCGTCCGGGTTCTCCGTCGACTCAAAAGTCTTTCTCACAATGGTCAGAGGTGGATTCAGGCTCCGGAAACCTGACACACAAACACGAGTATGAATAAAATAAAAAAGCTCTGGTGAATGAGCAGCAAACTGCAGGTTCAGTTGCCGTGTTTAAAAAGTGAAACTTGTTATTTGATCACCTCCAACAGGCAGCCTCGGGCTTCCTGTGACGAACTGCAGAAAGAGCCTCTGCTGCTCCGCATCGAAGCTGCTCAGCACCTCGAACAGGAACCGAATGGCACGGCTGCACAAACACAAGACCAAGACAACAGAGTTCATTTTCAAACTTTAATATGCAAGAGTGCCAATTCTGTGTAAATATTCTGTTGATTTATTTTGGCACAACCAGTTTAAAGCACGAACCATTTCTCTTATTGCTAGACTCAATATTACGCTAAATAACTGGTAAATAAATTTTGGCTCGTAAAACCATTCACAGTAGTCCCTCGCTACTTAACGGGTTTTCAATGTAAGATTGTACACGACACACGATTGTCAACTTTAATATTACTCACGTGATATGGGACAGTACGGGATAAAAAGTTAACAGAAAAAAAACCCTTAGGACAGGTGCAGCCATTTTGTAGTTTTCTTTCAATAAGCCTACACTGTAACGCCAGTCAAAAGAACTACAGTACCCAGAAGTCAACTGTGCTTCCGGCCGCTGCTTTCTGCCAAAATGGAGGGAAAGTTTTGTAACATAAAGTCAGAAGTAACAATCTATAAAGCTCACAGAAGTGGCAGGAAAGTCACAAACAACCCTGCAGTGTTCCCTCAGTGAGGACTGAACTAGACAAAAGGTCCTTCTCCTACTCCGCTCCTGTTTCCTGGAACATCTTACAAAAAGATTTGAAGCTCTCGACCTTGACCTCTCTAAGTGGCTTCAAACATCTGTGAAGTTCCTGGCAAAAACCAATGCAGACATGTTCCTGTTTTTAGTTTTCTACACCGCCTTACAACCTAGCTGAGTTTTTTGTTACTTTTTTTTTTAAATACCATTTTATTTTCACTTGTTCTTTTCAATTTGTACGCATCATTTTATGATCGTCTTTGTTGTCCACCGTTGTCATCACTCTGTTAAACTCAGGTCTCTCTTGTAAATGAGTCCCCGAGGCTCAATGGGACTAACGTGTAGAAATAAAAATAAAATGAAAAAAGTTTCCTGAAGCTCAATTATCTACGTGCACATGAACCTGGACTGGGTGGTGGGCTTCGTTGCTGCAGGGTAAGTCTGCAGAACCGGAACTGAGCTGAGGGTCTGCAGAGCTGGTGAGTAAAATTTTGCAGTACTGTAGTACATATACGTTTGTTGTTAAAATGATGTAGGTTTAAGAGTTTAGAACATTGCAAGTATGTGGGATGGGTTTATAAAGCCTTAAAATATATATAAATACTAAAATAAATATAACATTCCTAGAACAAAGTCCATGCTCAATAATCCAGGTATTCAATCCAACATTTTTCAGTCAGGTCATCTGGACCGTTTCTTTTTTTGTGCTGAAATGTTTCGCCTTCGATCCAGAAGCTTCATCATAACATTCCTACTTTGCAGTTTTTCACCCATCGTGGGGGTGTTTGGAACGTAGCCCCGTGATAATCGAGGAACTACTGGATATAAATATTTCATCTCTCATTTAAAAACCTTTTCTTTTTTTTCTTTTTTTAAGTTTTTCAGGAGACTTTAAAACTTTTCCAGCTGTCTTTTACTGAAAACAATCAAAAACAATGATCATTACAATTACTATGACATGGAAAACCAAATACATGACTAAGGTTTCACACTGAAGTGCTAAACTCAAGAGCAGCAGGAGGGTTAGGGTCTTACTGCACCTGTCATGTGTGTAGCCATGGTCCGGTCGACAGCACTCCATCAGCGTTTTGACATCCCACGTCTCAGATTTACTGCCACACAGCAACTGGTCAAGCTACAGGAAATGTGAGAAGTGGTGAGTAAATAAAAACAGAGAGAGAGAGAGAGAGAGAGAGAGAGAAGAAAAAAAAAACACCAGGAACATATTTTTTAGCATGTAAAAATAACTATTTATTTATAGAATAAATGACAGATTTAAATAATCTAAAAACAGCTTCTCACCTCCTCTGGATAGAAATACTGTAGGTGATGCAAGGGGAAGACGGACTCAAACCCTTCCCTAAATGACTCAAATTGTCTCGACACTCCTTCGTTTAAAGTCCAGTACACCACCAACTACAGGAAGAAGAAAAAAGCATGACCAAAACAGTGTATAATTGCAAAGCACAAGAACAACAGAAGGCGAAGGTGTACCACATACCCTGAGGTACTCCTCGAGGTTGTAAATGGTGACTGGGACGTCTTTGCCTCCCTTTTTCAGCTCGATGTTTGGGAATCCTGGAAGAGTGAAGTCTAAACCGAGTTCCTCCACAGAGCAGCCGTTCATGTTCAGGCTCTCGAGGGCCTGCTGTAGGGTTTCTCTAGTCTGCAGGGAAGAATTGTTTACATGGTAATGTGGTTCACCGGAAAGCAGGCATTGAAATGGTTTACAGGCATTGAGAAGAGCTGCGTTTTAAAAATGATTTTTTACAAATCTATCAAACTGCTTTTTTTTTTATTTTTTACCTGGGACCGGTCCTGTTCCAACTTCTTCTTCTGACGGATGATATCCTCCAGGTGCTGGATGGACTTGGCCACGCCAGGATCAATGTTTGTCAAGTCGTGAGAGCCCACAGACATCTCATGTCGTAGCATCCACTTATAAAAAGGGAGTCCTAAAGGCAGATCCAGCTAGGGGAAAATAAAGAGTTAAAGCAAAATGTTTACAACACGCAACTTTCCTAAGCGAGATATAATATCCAACAGGTGGTAGAAAATCAACTCAAATTTAAGTGCTTGTGATTGGGTGAAACAATGTCTCTATTAGCAAAAGTAGTGGTTACCAGTCTAAAATCCATAATGGCTTTGGCCATTAACTTTCCCAAGAAACGGAACTTCATTTTAATTTTGGCTATGTGTGCTGGTTTAGTCGTTCTGCCGAAGGGAACGGCAAACAGTCCTCTGGAGCTGAACATGTACTTCGTCCCCTCTTGGTTTCCTGTTGAGGAAGGACAGAAGAGAAAGAGCAGTTACGTCACAAGCAGCACAAATAAAACTAATTATATAAATACAGTAGTCCCTCGCTACTTTACGGCTTGAATTTCATGTTTATCGATTGTCAACTTTAATATTACTCGCGTGATTGGGACGGTATAGATAAAAAGTTAACAAAAAAAATAATAAAAGTACAGATAGGCGCCACCATTTTGTAGTTATCACCAGTCCAAAAGAACTTCATTACCCAGAAGTCAACAGTGCTTCCAGCCTGCTGTTTTCAGTCAAAATAGAGGGAAAGTTTTGATTTGATCCAAACCCATCTAAAAAGTTCGGTCCTTATTCATAATGACTTCAGTACTCGGTAAATACAGAGAACCGACCACAACTGGACCAGAACTACTTCCAGCCTCATCGGTCAGTCTGAGTGCTGTTTGCTGGCCCATGGAGCCTCTCCAGCGGGGAGGTGGTGCTGAGAGGTCCGGTGTCTTCTCCAGAGCTCACCCAGACATTTTTCATCAGGATTCCTCTGGATTATTTGGACTCGATCAGGACCACTGTGTGGTTTGGTGCTGGCTCTCTGAAGGTCCGGCTCTCTCCTAAAGCATCTGGTGCTCAACAGATGCAGAGAACTGATCAGAACTGATCAGAACCAAGGCTGATGAGTCCCCATATAAAATTTTGCAGTACTGTACAGAACATATACGCATGTTGTTAAAATTATGTGGGTTTAAGAGTTTAGAACATTTCAAGAGTGTGAGAGCGGTTTATAAAGCCTTAATATATAAATACTAAAATAAATATAGCATTCCTACTTCATGGTTTTCCTCCTATCACGGGGGTCTCTGGAACCTAACCCCGTGATAATCAAGGGACTACTGTATGCCTTGTATAAACTTCAGACACTTGAAAAGGTTCAAGTGAATTACTTTTATTTAGGGATCTTCATCTCTTTAATGCACATTTCTTAGAATTGTCACTGATGACCGACCGATCGATCGCCAAGTGGTGAGAGTGCGTCTAAGAACATTATGAATCACTCCATAAAATGGTCTCACATCAAATAACTACAGTAAAAAGATAAACCACATTCTGTTGGATCAAAGTTTACAGGATGAAGGGTGGTACCTTTAGGGTTGGCCAGAGTCACCTCTTCACCTCTCCAAAGACCAAGATCAGCCCTCTGAAGCTCCTGGGACACCAGAGCGTAAAATTCCTGAGTGGGACCGAGACCTGTGCCCACCTGAAAGAAAGAAAAATAAAACATTAACTATGCCCCAAGCAGACAAAAGATCATTTGTTTGTTTCAGTATACAGAAAAGAAGAGTACCTCGTTCTCATATTGGATCTCCAGCATTGCCCTGGAGCTGCCAAGGTCCTGCATTACAGACTCCGCCTGTTTTAGGAGGTCGTCACGGTTTATCGTTCTCTGTAAAGACATAAAAGGTGACGGCTTGGCCGATGGCAACTGGAGTGCATTTACTGAAGGACATCCAGTTTGTTGGTTTTCACTGAGCGAACTTCTCAAATATGAGTCAAAGCTGCAACTCTTTCTACGAAACGAAGCCCACCTTTTTCCTGTCGAGACGTGGTGCAACTCTGCTGTCCTGAGAATCTGATTGGTTGATCTCAGGGTTTGTGTCCAGTAGGCGCTGCATGGCTCTGTCCCGATCAAAAGCAGTTACGTAGAATAGCATCTGCCGGGTGTCAAAGGGGAAGAAGAAGGGGCTGTGGAAACAGAGGAAAAAGATGCTGTGACAACAAAGCAATGATACATACATTTTGGTTCATATTTACTTCATTCAGTAAGTGCTAAAATATTTTATTGCACGTTTTCTCGACTCACCAGGTTTTCCCAAGCTCAGTAAGCCAGGTAGGGATGTTCCCCGTCATGATAACCAGTGGGTCTTGTAGCTGCCGGTTTGCTTTGGCAGTCAGTTTACTATTAATGAACTCCGTGGTTGGAATAATTTCCTTACACACAGCATTCTACAAAAAAAAAGTACGCTTTGTGAAGCAGTCAAGCTTCTGAATTAAATTTATAGTTATGCACGATATTCACACCAAACGTTTTTCTACCAGCTTTGTTACAAATTAAGACCATGTTCAAATTAAATCACTTGTGAGGAAAGACTTACATCATGCAGGTAGAACCAGTACCGACTGATGGACTGAAGGACCCTCAGCAGCAGGGTGACCTCTAAAGAGGGGTCGTCAAACGTTATTGTCTCTGGCGGCTCTGAAGTGAGGTATGTGTCCAAGGGATTGATGATGCTGGGACAAACGCCATCTAAAAACAGCAGAAAGGAATAATATCATCAAACTGACCACAGGGATTCCAACTAGTGAGAAAGAATAGAGAATAAACTGCAACTGTAATCCTAATTAGGTTCAGTTAGCTGAATGTCATACTCTTGTCATTTGATTTGCACTTTAAATATTCATTTTAAGAAGCAGGACTTTCTGGGCAAATGGCAGAAGTTGCTGCAGCATGATTTGTAGAGATGCACCGATCCGATATCAATATCGGTACAGATATTGGAAAAACTTCTGGATCGGGTATCGGTGACAATGTGACCGATCCATTTTCGGATCCATGATGCACGTTGGCTTCAAACTATGGAATGGATTTCCTGAACGGCGGCGTGTCTCATGAACCCGGAGTAATAAGACCCGCTTCACATTCAGGAAATCCAGTTCATAGTTTGCAGCCGGCTACAACGTGAGGACTGAGTTAGCAGCACTGTGGCTAACAGCTAACAAACTTTTCATCTAAACATGTCCGCTGTGTGGAAGTATTTTACACTAGAAACACACAAAACAAGACAGCAACGTGCAATGTCTGCAGAGCCATAGTGCCACATTAAACCATGTTAAAGTTAGTTTTACGATGGACATTGGAGCTCTGTGGCTTCAGCGGGGTGCTGCTCTTTGGTCAAACCGAAAGAGGCGACTCAACCCTGGCCAGCCGCGTCCAATCTGCCCCGCTCAGTCTGCCCGTCTCTGAGGAGGGACGGACTGAGCGCAGCTGACTGAAATCAGACCGCTTGCTGCAGATTGAACAAGACGACGTCGCTGAAGCCACGGAGCTCAAATGTTTACAGAGAAGCTGCTCAACTTCATCATAATTAATGACCAACTCCTATCAGTTGTAGAAAACAAAGGATTTCTCAGCTTGATACTTGTAGCCAAGATATAGTTTACCCTCCAGGAGATATCAGTACAACAGTAGACAATCATAAAACACATATGATTTGAAAATTACAAGAAAATTATATATATAAAAAAAAATGAAACAAAAACAGCTATATTATAAAGTGATGTAAAATATTTACAACAGGAACATGTCTGTGTTGGTTTATGCCATGAACTTAGCAGATGT